AGGAAAAGAAAACCCCCCCCCTCTTTCCCCCCCCCATTTTTGTTTTCCCCATGGGGCCCCCCCCCCCCCCCCAGGAAAAGAAAACCCCCCCCCTCTTTCCCCCCCCCATTTTTGTTTTCCCCATGGGGCCCCCCCCCCCCCCCCACTTTGTACTTAAACCCTTAGAGTAAGTGCTGCTCTCTGTGCTTCGAATCCGGGTCGACCACGTCACGCGATGCTGTCCACACGCACTGGAATTTGTGATGCTTCTGTTACATTACCATATGCCTTACATGTTTTCCAAAACTAATAAAAAGCATAGCAAAAAGGCTGCGGATGAAGTGTGTTTAATTACATTTGCGTCACCATTGTCCTCTGTGTGCGACACGGTGATTACAATCGCTGAAATAAGTATGTTCGGCCACCTGGGTGTGGCGAAGAACTCTGATCGCGCATCTTTCTCCATGTTTCCTTGACAACGGAATACAGTGATATCATAAAGCCTCTATCTATGGCACCAGCTAAATGTGAAGCCTTATCGTCGCACCACATTCATTAGAATTGTTATAAAACAATTTGGATATTTCTGTCAGTAGCTACTTCCTGAGGCATTTAATAATAACCTCTTGGCGTTGTTTCATTCAGGGTAAAGCTGTTGACGTCCGTCATTCGCCTCCGAGCTGCCGCTCTCCGTGTTTCATGCGAGTTCACGTGATTTCATAACGCACAAGATGAACCTCTCAGAGTAACGGGCCTCAGTTGACCAGGGAGTCTGTCTGCGATCGGCGAGGCGACATCGGTTGGCTTTGAGTGTCTGCCACGGAAACTTCTGCGAAGCTCGAGGATTTCAGCGCGTTGGACAGGCAGTTGATGTAGCCGTTCCTGTAATTTTAACAGATGGCAGTTGCTGGTGAGGACGCGCATATCCCTGGCTTAAGCCAGCCGGCTGCACTTAATTTTCAAAGCACGTGGCACATGGAATTCTGATGTCCGGAGCTGTCTCTAGTTATTGGTGTTCCCAATTGCTGGAGCCAAAGAGCGTCCCCGGTGGCCCAGTATGGTACTGCAAGACAACTCCCCATTCTCCACACTATCCAGCCTAGGATGCAATTCTTTCATTATTTGCACTGTCAGTAGCTAATTATAAGTAACATTCTAGCTTCATCAATCCGTTGGTTAATCAAAGTCCAAAATAAATGACAATTTTCATATTTAATTACGATATAGCCCCATGCTATCTATAGAGCGTGGAGGTTAGAGCCAATGGAACAGCGCCTGAGTTCACACTTTGGCAAAATATCCATATGCATGAAGGAGCATCCATCACAATCCTGTGCTACATAAGTGGTAGGAGAAGACGGATGGATGAGTGGGTGGAGGAAACAACCATTGTAAATTGCTTTGGATAATAACATCAGCTAAGTACCAACTGGAGGCAATGACAGGAGCTTAAACATGGCATTTCTACCATTTTTTCTATGAGTAATAAATTAAAGGAAGATACTTTCAGGGAGCCTGCCAGATCTGCCGTGCAACAGCAATAAGCCACAAGATATCAGCGACCAGCGCCTGACAGGCTGAACGAGGATCCACCTGTCTGGTACGTATGCAGTTCTCCACTGCTGCTGAGGTTTCTCCGTAGTCGTATTTTCATCCTCTCTCAGCCAGTGATGACTCACCTGTCGCCACGGCGCTGAAAACACAGAGGCAGCCATTGGGCATTTCGCTTCATTCTGCAGCGAAGCTTTTTTTGTTTCTTGTGTGTGTTTTTGTTTTTTTTATCCTGAGCTTTCTGGGAAAACAAGTGACTGAGCTTCTCCAAGAGCTCAATTTGCAAATGAGATCTATAAAGGAACAGTAGGACCTTGCATGCAAATAAATAATTTGCGCACCATCAGTCATCCAGAGGTGGGGTGTGGAGGGGGGGGGGTGTCAGAGATCTATACCGAATCTAAGAGTTAATGGCCTGTTCCTTTGCAAAAGCCAAATGCATTGTCAGCAAAGACACAGTCTAACTTCTAGGTATCAGAATAGACTGAGAAGCAGCCAAAAATCATGGGGTTAAGTTGGAATACATTACAGTACATTAAACATAATTCCTCTCTGGCATGAAGGAATCAAAAAAGCAGTATTTATAAAGAAGGCCATACATTGCTACTGGATTTTTTTTTTTTCTTCATCCGTAAGACATAATGTATGTTTTATCCAAAACATCTTAGTGGTTGGGACTGTTTATGTTATCTTATGTTTCACAACAAAGGCTATTAGCAGTCATCTGGAACTTGATGTATAGTCCAGTGTTCCTCACTCCAGTCCTGCAGCGGTCCACGTTTTCGCTCCCTCCCAGCTCCCAACACACCTGTACCAGGTATCCAGTGTTCCTGATTGGCTGGGAGCTGGGAAGGAGCAAAAATGTGGACTGCCTGGGAGTCTTTGAACAATATCATAGTCAGAAACGTGTTCCCCGCTACAGTGCAGCCTGCCGCCAGTGTCGCTGGTTTGGTTCCACCCACCCAGACTTTCCACCTACTGCTTTGGTCTCGTGGGGGATGTTCCCCCGACCACGTTACGCAGGCATCCGGGATCACAGTGAAGGTCAGGCCGTGTGAGAAGGCACGCTCCAGCCCAGGAAGTAATCGTCGTGTCTGCCCAGTGAGTGGAAGGTAGGCCTCAAACACACCCCCACTGAATGGAGCGCCGGGGGGTGGGTGACATTCCTATATGAAGATGGAGTGCAGGAACTGGTCAGATGGAACCACAGCAGGCCTCACCTGATAGAGGAATCCCAGAGAGGTTGGTTGCATAGATCAAGTACTCGTTTGGCAGTATTTTTTTGAACAGCATGCATTCATTTCAGCAGAAAGGCATGTATATAAATGGGTTGTCTATCCGCTGCCTCAGAAAACAAATAATTGCAGCCATTACTCCTGCCAAAATCATAGATCATAAAAGCACTTAAATAAAAAACAGTAGACGTATTAAGCACGGTTAATCTTTAATGATAGTACTGTATATACCTTTATAAATTATTCTGCGTGACCCTTTCATGGCCAAACTAATGGAAATTAATTACTGTCTATATAATGATTTACTTTTCTGTGTGGTGAGTACAGGGACTCCTGACTATACTATATACATTCGTAATTTGAGAGAGCTTCTAACAGGTTCCAGGTCCTTTTCTTCAAGATTTTCAGCTCAATTTACTAATTTCCTAAATGGAATTCATCCTTCTGCAGCTCCCCTGCCATGCAAAGAGCACATTATAGGGTCATGGAAAAAAGCCCTGAGGATAATGCTCTTCATGTGTGGCTCCAGAAGAGGAGATTTGAGGGACTGGACTATAATGTGGCCACTTGCCCCTCGGATACCATCGGTGATGTTGTAAGTGATCTTCACAGTTTTATTTCCGCTGTGTCCAGGCAGGGTGATGGGTACTTCGCTGTATGTCCGGGAGCAAACCCTACAGTTCACATGTTTTGCGAAACACTTTGGACACAGGGAAACTCCACAGTCTGTCTCAGCCAAGGAACAAGCAAAGATCCCTAAAGAACAGGTCTGGTTATCCTTTCCCAGTGTCATTTTTTCTTCTGGTGTCCAGTTGGACCTGCTAGGGTTGATGAGAGATTTTTTCTTCTGGTTGTCCGGAGCTGTGGGTGAGAGACATTCGTTTCTCCGGTAAGGTCTATTTTCATCCTTAGGTTTCGCATTGCTTCCTCTTTAGGACATTGCAATATCTTGTGTGCTGGACAATGATATCGGCAGTGACATTTACCCTCTCATGTCCAGCACTTGGGATGGGCATACAGTATCTCACAAAAGTAAGTACACCCCTCACATTTTTGTAAATATTTTCTTATATCTTTTCATGGGGCAACACTGAAGATATGACACTTTGATACAATGTAAA